CGGCGCCATGCTTTCCTGCCAACTTTAATCTTCCGAAATTTAAATGCAACGTCAAACGTTTTCTACTGTCCTCCTGATTGCTCTTCTTTTGTTTTGATGCTTTAGTAATGTTTCTGTTTTCTAATTCTCCCTCACCCAGTAATTCCTTGTGTCTTAGTGGCTTTGATCCCTTTCTTAGGGCGAACCCAATTTAAAAAAAAAGAAATAAATCTGCATCCTCCTTTGTAGGCCAAAAATCCTTTTAAACCGTGCTCTAAACCGCTCGGCCACAGAGAGTGTCACAGCAAAATAAAGGTTCAATTACAGTTTTTAAAGTCTGGTAGGCGTAATTCACAGTCTTAAAAACAGGGCGTCTACTTGAATATATATATATATATATATATATATATATATATATATATTTTTAAGTGGATGTATGTTCAAATACATCCACTTAAAAATAACGTTTAGAACAGCGTTTCTCAACTGGTGCACTTAAGCACACTAATACGCCCTGGAAGGTAGCCAGGCGCGCCTGAAGTTAACAGAAAAGTAATTTATGAATTATTTTTATATTAAAAAAATATTTATTTTTAAAAAGTTAGAGATGCCAAGTACATGGCTTCCATGTCTAAGTCAAATCCTTGCATTTGATATTTTAAAGTGGATGTTAAATTCTTTAATATTTAAGGAGTGGATAATCACTTCTATTTTGCCTTCCTTAAGATATTTAAATCAGTCTTTATTGGCCTCTCTCTTAAAAATAATTACAAAAAAAAAAGATTCTTAATAAATCTTTTTAAATGAAAAATATACCGTTAATCATCGTTAGGGATGCTAAACCAAAAACGACAACCATTAATTTTTTTTTTCTTTGCCAAATCACATCAAGCACAGGTTTCATACAATTCATTTTTCCATAATATATCTGTTTGTGCTGTTATAGTGCTTATTACCTAAGCAATAATAATACTGAATATTTTTTTTGAACATTAAAGTATATTTAATCACATCTCTCTAATATCTATCGTGGTCTTGTAAATGAGAGCGTATTTATCACATGCAAGGCCTAGCATTCAAAGATTGCCAAAGGCCATCAAGCACAGGTTTCACACAGGCATACTTAAATATGCAATGTAATGTCTTAAAAAATAAATGCTTATTTCAGGAAACTCTATTATTATTATCCTGTTTTAAAATTTCATGACAAAATTTTCGTTATTAATATTTAAAATGCGCCATGGAGTTCTAAATTTTCTACAAGTGCGCCCTGAATTCAAAAAGGTTGAGAAACACTAGTTTAGACTATTAAGAAATAATGTTAGATCAAAAATAAAATCCATATATTATCATATAAAAATATTAGAGAAAGGAAGCCGTGGAGAGTCACTATCGTCTACTTCCTTTAGAGACATAGCATTAAAAAAATCTTGTTTTATTTAAATTTTAAGATGAGCAATGGAAATCACGATTACTCTTTGATTTGCATTATTTTTTATATTATTTTTACTTAGATTTCGGAGTGTCAAAAAACCAGGAAAATGTGAAGAGCCATTATCGCACATTATTCGGACTATTGTCCTCATCTTTGTCGCCATATTTATCACAACGTTTCCGCCGTTATAAGCTCCGGCCTTCTTCAGGTGGTTGGAATGTCGAACTGAACCCTTTATTTCGCTCACTGGGGTAGACTGTTCTAGTTCCACGTGACAGTTATCTCCTGTTAATTTCCCTCTGAAAGTTCTCCACTGCCTTAACCGGGTATTGAACTCACAGTCTTTGGGTTTTGCAACTGGATCTAACCAACGGCTTTATCCACTGTGCCATGTGTCCTTGAGCAACAGTCAATCCCAGTGAGCGAAATAAAGGGAACTAGTACAGTCTACCCCAGTGAGCAAAATAAAGGGAACTAGAACAGTCTACCCGAGTGAGCGAAATAAAGGGGTCAATTCGACATTCCAACCACCTGAAGAAGGTCGGAGCGTACAACAGCCGAAACGTTGTAATAAATATGGCGACAAAAATGATGACAATAGTCCGAATAATGTAAATAATGTATATTTCATCTCAGAAATATAGACAACTTATAATATCTATATAACATCTTGCAAAAGGGGATGTATGCTCATTGGTCCATTTTATTTCCGCCCCCGCCTTTTTCTTTAGTTTATTTTCCCTTCCCTTCCCCGTTTAGACGAGTAGAGACGTTAATTCTCTGGTGGATGCGGGGCGCCTTTCGTTTCGGGTGTGATTTTTATAGTATGTTTTATTGTATCATTATTTAATATAGCTATTTGTGCTTTTCTCAAGTTGATAATATTTTCTATAATTTAAACGTTATGAAATTCTTTAATCCATATCGGTAATATTAAAATATTTTAACAGTATGAGTATTAACAAAAGCGTCTGACTTAGAATATATTTTGCAATTTGACGCATGCGCATTCAGAAAAAAGCCCGCTTTCAGATCTGCTGTTTATCGACTATTGTTATTGACGTTTTATATTGTCTGCTTCTTTAAATTCACTAATTAATCTCTTCAGTTGTGTCACGTCTTAACATATGCAAATCTATTTCTGTTCTCAGACTCTTGGAATAATGGCAGCATTTTTTCTCAACCAATCAATATCAACTCGACCCAAATCCATCCCACTGATACGACAGTCGTTAAATGAGATTTTTCTTATAATGAGTGGCTCGTTTCCAACCAATTATGTTCGTCTTCTCGAGTGGCAAACTAATCCTTATTGCAGCCGCCTGCTCAGGCACATTTGCGTTTATTCAACATCCACAGAGCTAACCTGCAGTTTATACTGCATCTATACTGAGCAGACCTTTGTTACAGTTTTAGGGAGAGACTACACAACCTGGCATGGTCAACAGTTGAACAAGGTGAGTCTCTTTAACCTTCGGTCACGATGACTCGCGATATATATATATATATATATATATATATATATGATAGAAATTAGGAGGATTTGAGATAATTATAATTAAGTAATACATCAAGTCTAGAAGAAACCTCAACAGAATGTTTCGTCCTATATTTGGAACTCATCAGCAGTATGCATCCACTGAGAATTGAAACCCGGACAGTTATGTAAGCAAACGTCATACCAACTGTTCCAACGGGCCTCGGTGACGAAGAAGTAGCGAATCAGACACAATATAGAACCGCTCGGTCATATATTCCGTGGTGTAACTCATCCGAGTTTCCCTTTTACCCGTAGGACTGTGACCCCACTAGCCACGACTACCATCCCCAAGCCGCTCAGTCCAGAGCATTAGAAGCCGGTTCAAGCAAGGATATACAAGTGATAAAAATTAGGAGGGTTTGAGATAATGGTAATTAAGTAATTCATCGAGTCTAGAAGAAACCTCAACAGGCGACAAAGATGAGGACAATAGTCCGAATAATGTAAATAGTGTACATAATACCTCATCTCAGAAATATAGACAGATACTGAAGGATCGGATAAATATGGCGACAAAGATGAGGGCAATAGTCCGAATAATGTAAATAGTGTACATAATACCTCATCTCAGAAATATAGACAGATACTAAATGATCGGATAAATATGGCGACAAAGATGAGAACAATAGTCCGAATAATGTAAATAGTGTACATAATACCTCATCTCGGAAATATAAACAGATACTGGAATTTATTCGTTACTTGCATTGTTGTAAATAATGGGAACTCTTCATACCAGAATTTCAGACTGAAAATTACTCATCTCAAACGTGAAACAAAATTAACAATTGAAATTTTTATCGCCTTCATGACCCATAGAGTCTTTAATTCTATGGATAATTCTTTAGTGGTCTGCTGGAAGCGCTAAATAATCGATCTGGTACATGATATTCATTTTGTTTCAATTATATCCAAATTTCTAGCCACGATAGGCTGATGAGTTTGAATCTCAAAGCACAAGAAGATTTTCTGTTTTTCTTCTCTTAACTCTCCTAGATGGATTCTGGTTAGTGCATATATACCATTGGTTAACATAGCCAAATCCTAGTCCTGTACACAGTTCCCAGGGGATCACCGTTTGCACCCAGTTATGCCTATTTTTGTCATCTTTCTGAGCTAACTTGTTGGATTCGCTTATAATGTGCCTGATTGTCTCATCACTAGCACCGCACAGTCTGCGTTTGCTATTCTCCCGGGTTTTATCTATCTTGGTTTTTATATAATTGCTTGTAATGGCGGTATTCTGCTCCCGCCACCATTAACAATGATTCAGTCTTTCTGTTTAGATTACCCCCTCCCCCTGATATCCACTGAGACTGCTTTTCATCTGCAATTCTTCAATATGTCTTCTGAAATATACGTACAGTTATTTGCGTCATTATTATTATTATTATTATTATTTTCAAAGGAAAATAGAAGCAAAAAGGACACTTATACTTAAACTCAAAAAGAGACAATGAACATTTCTGATAAAACATAACGAGGAAAGAGACATTTGAGACTGTCACAGGACATATTGAGGGGGGGATTCATTGATTGGTTTTTTACGGCTTATCAACCCTTTGCAGGTTGTTTAAAGCCAGAAAATACTTTTGATATGTCCCGGAAAGGGATATATTTGAACGAAGTAGATTAATGGTTTTGGTTACTATAACCAAGTAGAATACGGTAGCAGTAATCGACTGGTACGCGTCGTAGTCGCAGGTAAGAAGTGTAGATCAATGGCGTAATCTAATGGGCGCCGTTGTAGACTTAGCTCTCAGACTAAGGCTCTTTGACTCTCCTACACGTCCGTCGGTATTTATGACGGACACCATCCAATCATATTCCAGTGAGGGAGAACACAGGCGTATGCATATTCCATTATATCAACTTTTAGATTTTAAGAATATTTTTCGAGATAATAATGATTTAGAGACACAAATCTTAACCCATAGCTGGGGAAATTCATATCTTTCCCAAGGATATTTGCGCGTTAATGAATATAACGAACCCAAATGAAATTCCAGCTCGGCTATCCATGCCTTTATTCGTTAAACCACATCGGGCAGCACCTGGTATTCCTGAGCAGTCACCCATCTAGGTACTGACCGGGTCCAACTTTGCTTAACTTCGGCGATCTGACGAGAATCGGTGTTCAAACGTGATATGGCCGTAAGCCCTTAGCGTGAACAGAAAATGTTGATTTTCTAAGCGTGCTTTAGATGTGGCACAAGGCCGAAAGTATAGGGCACTCAGTGAGGTTTGAACCCATTACTCAGATGTATCTGTTCCAGTGAGACAAGCTTGCTAACCGTTACACCACGATAGGGTGAACAGAGAAGAAGAGGTCAAATGAGCCTGAACCCTATTACATCTGATCGCCTCCGACTATCCGGAAAGGCGGGCATGTTTGAACCTCTTTTGCTGATTTTAAGCGCTTAACCAACTTTCACTTCTGCATGGCTAATCTACTCTGACTCGGCGGCCTCCTTTTATTCGATTTCAGGATTAAGCGTAGCAAATTCTGACGTATATTTATTTCGCGTGACTAGATTGCGTGTTTTAATCCTAATTTGACCACCTGTAATATATGCGTGTCATTTTGAACACATTACGATATGATTACGTGCCTTGTTGAATATCTTACAGTTGTTTATATGCCAATTTGTCTACCTTTCAACTAAGCTCATATAGGAACGAATTGGAAATAAGCATGTGTCTTAACCCCGAGGCAGTAGAGCAGGTCGATTTTGGAACTGCCCTGTTGTACTCAATTTATAAGTTGGGGTTTAACACGATAAATAAAGACACAAAATATTTGTTTCCGTCCCTGGATTTTGTCGCGAACCTCAAGATGCACAAGGGGGGGGTTAACAGACCATATATGGCAGCAGTATTCAATGCAAGGACCAATGCTTGATTTGTAGATTTGAAGGGTGGACTCAGGCGAGAAAAACCTTCTGGCGCGACACAGAGAACCAACTTTCCTTGCAGTAGATACAGCTATTGATTCAATGTAGTGTTCCCTCTCAGGTCAGTGGAAAGTTTGAGGCCAAGCAGTCGTAACGAGGTACTCTCGGGGAGTTGGGAATCAGCCATTCTGATGGGAGGCAGGGAGGGTTCTCTGTGGTGAGTAAATGAGAGCAGTTTCGTTTTGAAGGCATTAAAGTTTACAAGGCATTTCTTGATTGGGACATTTCAAAATCTTCATTTTTCTCGTCCGAAACAAAACAGTTTTTACGTAATTAATTATTTTTTTTCATACAGCATTATCTCTTATGCTATACAGACGTCATATTTAATGGCATTATACAGGTGGGCAATGTTTTTTGTAAATCCTACGATCAGTCAGCTATGTGCCATGCGTGATACACGCTTAGGCGATCATGTCTCTTCCCGAGTCATGATTGACATTCATATGATTCTACTGGACATAAAGTGGGGGATCGCTTTCCTATTGTCATTTAGTACTAAACTGATCCCCCTAAAATTCAGTCAGTTATGTGCCATGCGTGATACACGCTTAGGCGATCATGTCTCTTCCCGATTCATGATTGACATTCATGGGGGATCGGTTTCTACATTTGGACATTAAAGTGGGGATCGTCTCTTTTCATGATTGACATTCATTTAGTACATAAACTGATCCCCTAAAATTCAGTCAGTTATGTGCCATGCGTGATACACGCTTAGGCGATCATGTATCTTTCGAGAAAAATATTTGTAGAAAAGACAGGGGGAAGCCACACCACGTCCGTGAGAAAGTGACTGTAGACGAGATGCCAGATCAAGACCTATCATATTGCATATCCGTCTCTGGATTTTGTCGCGAACTTCAAAATAAACAGCGGGGGCACTAGACCATATATGGCAACAGTATTCAATGCAAGGACCAATGCTTGATTTGTAGATTTGAAGGATGGACTCAGGGGAGAAAACCCTTCTGGTGCGACACAGAGAACCAACTTTGCTTGTGGTAGATGAAGCTATTGATTCATTGTAATTCTTCTATCTCAGGTCGGTGGAAAGCGTGAGACCAAGCAGGCCCAGAGAGACGCTCTCATGAAGTTGAATATCAGCCATGTTGATAGGAGGCAGCGGGGTGGGGGTCTATGGTGGGTAAAGGAGAGCAGTTTCGTTTTGGAGGTATTAAAGTTTACAAGCCATTTCCTGCCCCAGTCAATCACAAGCGACCGGATGAGACGTTGCTCATCACCACTACCGCCTTGCAAATTTGGGCGCGATTTCGACTCATACCGGGAGGTATATATATTCATTACGTTTTTTCGAGTACGTGGGTCGGTAAAGAAAATAAATACTGAAACTGGCAGTAACCTCTTATATTCACTATCTATCTATCTATCTATCTATCTATCTATCTATCTATCTATCTATCTATCTATCTCATTCTGTTCATTATCTATCTATCTATCTATCTATCTATCTATCTATCTATCTATCTATCTATCTCATTCTGTTCATTATCTATCTATCTATCTTCATTATCTATCTATCTATCTATCTATCTCATTCTGTTCTATCTATCTATCTATCTATCTATCTATCTATCTATCTATCTCATTCTGTTCATTATCTATCTATCTATCTATCTATCTATTTATCTATCTATCTATCTATCTATCTATCTATCTGTGGCCTCTGCATATTATAGTAGTGCTTAAAAATATTAACAAGCAAGTGTTCACATGTATGCGTCGGAAGCAACTAAATACTGGAGGTTCGTTACCAGACAGTACCTCTCCGGTTGCCTTATCCGGGCTAGCTTCATGGTTTGAGACAATAGATGTTGGAACCAGACAATTTGGGTATAACCAAATATAATTACCTTGAGTCAAATGTGGGTAATCCACAAGGATGAGAACCTGTCTTCCGTTTTTCATCGTCGGTTAGTAAATCAATTGCCATCCAGGTACACACTCATGGGTTCGCACGATGGTGTAGCGTATAACATATATGGAAGTTTCTAAATTGATCGTAAGCGTTTCTTTCTGTACGGCAGCTTATATGGTAATAATTGTATTTGTACTCAAGACAAATATGCAATTATGCCCGTGAATAAAGTGTACGCACTCTCCATAATCTTAACGCAAATGATCGCTACGATGTAAGTCCTTGAAGAATCACAAGCGATGGTTTTTTATTTTATTTTAAATTTATTGAATTTTTATCTATCTATCTATCTATCTATCTATCTATCTATCTATCTATCTATCTATCTATCCCAGTCTGTTCATATCTATCTATCTATCTATCTATCTATCTATCTATCTATCTATCTATCTATCTATCCCAGTCTGTTCATATCTATCTATCTATCTATCTATCTATCTATCTATCTATCTATCTATCTATCTATCTATCTAGTGACCATAGTGCTTTCGAAATTTAAAAATTGACCGACTTCTGTCTCCAGATAGAAATTGATAATAATAATAATAATAATAATAATGTTTTTTTAGATTTCCACTTCAAGAAAAAATAGATCTTGAAGTGGAAATCTAAAAAATGTGGCACACGAGGACATCCATATTTCCAGTTGTAGTTGAAGCCCTCGGATTCACTGGAAAAGGTTCCGATAAACTCATTAAAGGGATTCCTGGTAGCTTATGCCTTAAAGAAATACAAAAAAAAAAAATACTCTAACAAGGACAGCTAACAACTCATGAAGGTTTTTATCTATGTAAAATGTGTGTGATTTTAAATTGTTTTATTTTATTTTTATTTTATTTTTTATTCATTTATTTATTTTTTTATAAAAATGTTCAGTGGAAAATTCCATTCACAGAATCTTAAGGTCATTTCTGACCTTAAGTTTCTGTTTGGGACCCGCAAGGAAATTGGCATAAAACAGAAATCAAGGAAACAACAACAATAATAATAATAATAATAATAATAATAATAATAATAATAATAATAATAATAATAATAATAATAATAATAATCCTTTTAGAGTTATGCTTGTCCCGCCTTTCACTAGTTTGCACGACCATTATGCTCTCCCAATAGCCCATAAATAATGAACTATTCTGTTTTGATCATGTGGGAAGAGGGGAAAAGAAACTTGTTGGTTTCAGGGAGAAAATAAAAGAAAAGAAAAGAAATAAAGAAGGGAATATAGAAATGTTTAATGGCTGTTTCAGTGAAATGGATAAAGTTGTCAATTTCAAATCTTTTCATTTGTACCCACTTACTTTTTTAAAATAACCACCAGCTTTCATATTGATGATTGTTATTGCAATATTTTGTGAAAGTTGTTAAGCTCAAATATTTAATGATTCGATAAGGGAATTTCGACGGATATTTTATTGCCGTATCATTCGCCATGAGTTTATACAATCATTAACTAAAACGTTAAGAGTCATCTCAAAAAGGCGAACCGTGAAATTTACACGGGTCTTTCTAATAATAATAATAATAATAATAATGGCTGTTTCAGTGAAATTTCAAAATATGTCAAAGTGGCATCTGGGAACATCAACAATCCCTGTTGTAGTTGGAGCCCTTGGGCTGGTTGGAAAAGATTGCAGTAGACTAATTGAAGGGATTCCTGGAAGTCCATGCCTCAAAGAGATACAAAAAAGTGTTCTGACAAGTACAGCTCACACTTTACGAAGGGCTTCATCTATGTAATTTTTTTTTGTCAGTGGAAAGTGTCATGATGCCATCTCTAACCTTAGGTCCCTGGGGGGACCCGGAAAGAAATGTGTAAACACCAGAAGTAAAAGGAAATAATAATAATAATAATAATCGTTATGTCGGCTTTAATTTGTACAGAAAATATGCGTAAAACAAAAGGCATATCAGAGACGCTGCTTGGTTTCAGCGAGAGAAAGAAAGAATGGAAGTTAGAAGTGTTTAATGACTGTTTCAGTAAAATGGAAAAAGTTGTCAATTTAAAAATCTTTACATTTGTACCCCCTTACTTCTTAAAATAACGACCAGCATTCATATTGATGACTGTTATTGCAATATTTTGTTAAAGTTGTTAAGCTCAAGTATTTAATGATTCGATAAGGGAATTTCTACAGATATTTTATTACCGT